CTGTAGTTATAATCGGCCGTGTGCAGCAGGGACTAAGGCCAGCGCAGTTTTTTCCAGTGACGCTGTTAGCCCGAAATATGAGAGACACCGTGAAGATATGCGTTCTCAGCGTGTTGCTGGCCGTTGCGTGTGTTGCAACGGTGTCCGGCAGCAGCCCCGTTGCTCGTCGCCCGACTAAGGTTAGACCTCTGCATGCACTACCTGCGAGGCTTCATGCCGCGTAGTCATTTACCTCCCAATCACTCTTCCTATCAAATCGTACAATCTCCCTGTGCGTATACGACGCAGTCCCCTCGGTATCCTACCCTACCGTCCCCGACGCCTCTGTTCATTTCCCCCTTCCATCGCCTCGCCCCTCCTCGTCGTCGGCAGGACATGCCACCATGCGCGGCGTGCGACAACGGCACTCTCTGCGTGCCGCTCTTCTCCTTCTGCTTCTCCTCCGCCGGCCCCTCCTGCAAAGACGGCTCCGACTTCGGCGCGCCGTGTGCCGACTACCAGGTACCACCTGCCGACTACCAGGTACCACCTGCCGACTACCAGGTACCACTTGCCGACTACCAGGTACCACCTGCCGACTACTAGGTACCCCCTGCAGCCAGCTGCCTGGTGGCTCTCTCTCTCTCTCTCTCACTCACGCCTGACACAACCCTTTTTCTTACGAGCCCGCACTAGAGCCGTCCCGCACACTTGCCAGTCCCTCTACGGCGGGGAGCTCCGCAGTTGCCTTCTCAGCGCCCCACAAACAGCACGCCCCTCGCGCGAGCAAGATAACCAGCGTGAGGCGCACACTGCGCGTCCATCGAGACGATGTCGAATCATCCAGCCGGAGCACGGTCTGGGCCGCCTCTCTAAACACCCACGTCGCGGCGCCCCTCCCGCCCTCCAAACCCCGCTTCCTCCCTGCCCTGCGCGCGTTCCCGCAGTGCCCCGCGGGGTCGTCCAAGTGCGCGGACGAGCAGCAGTGCGTGCTGGACTCGGCGCGCTGCGACGGCACCAAGGACTGCCGCGACGGCTCGGACGAGGACCCCAAGGCCTGCGCTGCCTTCGACTGCTCCTCTATTGGCATGGTAGGCAACCCGCTTCGTTATAAGCATCGAAAGACCATGCTTCGTTATGGGCATGGTAGGTAACTACTCTATTGGCACCGTGACGGCAACCTCTGCAGCGCGAACTTGTGGATTCATTGTTCACTTTGGGTCACCATCACTTGTCCCTCCACTCCGTTCATATCCCACCCCCCTTCACCGCTCATTCCCTGCCATTCCCCACGGTTGCATTGCTGCATCAATCACGCCTCCGCTCACCGTGTCCTCCCGGCGCCCTCTCCCCCGTCTCGTCTCCCGCGCGACAGGAGCGGTGTCCGCTGGGGGCGGCGCAGTGCGTGGCGGGGTACCTGCTGTGCGACGGCAAGCCGTCGTGCCCCAACGCCACGGACGAGCACCCCGCCTTCTGCGCCCAGTACCAGTGCAGCACGGACGGCCGGGTCAGTGCTTCGCCCTCCACCCTCCCCATCCTTCATCCTTCCTTGTTGTCGCCCTCATCGAGCCTTGTCACGCCATGCCTCCACGCGCACCCCTCTCTACGCGGCCCTGAGTCTGCGAACCGCCCATAATCTCCCCTGCTCCACTTCTGCCCACAACAGCAACAGTGCCCGTCCGGCACGGGGTGCATGTTCCTCGGGCAGGCGTGCGACGGAGTGAGCGACTGCAGCGACGGCAGCGACGAGGACGAAGCTTTCTGCAAAACCTTCAACTGCAGCGACGCTGGCAAGGTGAGTCAACGCAAATGAAATGCAGTCATGCTGGGAAAGTGTTTCAACGCGAGTCAACTGCATCCATGCTGAGGAATTAATCCAGTGCGAGTCAAGGCAAGTCAACTTTCGCAGCCTTCTCTCCTCGCCCTCTCGCCCACCAGAGCACGTGTCCGAGCGGCGTGGGGTGCATCTTCCCCGACGCTATGTGCAACGGCCGCGCCGACTGTACTGACGGCAGCGACGAGGCGGCCGCCACCTGCAACGACTCCTTCGACTGCTCCGCCACCGGCCGGGTGAGCCGTCGCACGCCTCACAGCCTCTGCCTTGCTCCTGCTCCCCCTGCTCATGCGCCCGCCGATGCCCGCTCGCATGCCAGCGTGTGTGCACCCGCACCACCCACCTCTCTGCCGCCGGCTAACCCTGCACACTTCACCTCCCCAATCCACGTGTGACCCACTCAGGTGGCGTGCCCTCTGAAGGGTGGGTGCGTGTGGGAGTACCAGCTGTGCGACGGCATGCCCGACTGCCGCGATGGCAGCGACGAGCTCCCGCAGTTCTGCTCCAAATTCAACTGCTCCAACTCCTACCGGGTGCGCTGCCCCCCTCGCTGCCCCCCTCGCTGCCCCCCTCGCTGCTCCCCTCGCTGCTCTGATCGAGTTCCAGACCCCGCTGCAAGCACTCTGTGTTGGGTTAACTGTTGATCCCCTTTGCTCTCCCCAATCTCAGACGCAGTGTCCCGGGGGACAGCAGTGCACATACGAGGGGCTGCTGTGCGACGGGCGGAAGGACTGCAGTGATGGCAGCGACGAGGGCGCGCTCTTCTGTAGCAGCTACAACTGCACGGACACCGACAGGGTGAGTTGCGGATCCCTGGTTTCGAATGATGATGATGACATGTGGGATGCTGCCACGTGATCAAGCAAGTGAAACATGTGAGTAGCATCTGCTGCCCATTCACACGCCTCTCCCCATCATCACCATTTCATCCTGTCCCCTCCGCGCGACCAGGTGGTGTGTCCAACAGTGGACAGCTCAGCACCCGCGTGTGTTTCGGCCTCTCTGCTGTGCGACGGCACGCCGCACTGCCCGGGCGGCAGCGACGAGGACCGGGCCTTCTGTGCGGACCACGAGTGTGCGCCCGGCCTCATCAAGTGCCCTGGCTCGCTGCTCTGCGTGCCCGGCACGCTCTGCAACGGCTTCCCCGACTGCCGCATGCCCACCGCCCTTGACACCGCTCCTGGCCCCGACCCTGCCACCGGCTCTGATGCCGTCCCTCCACTGAAGCCTGCTGTTATGCCTCGCACCACTGCTCCCACGGCTACTCCTGGTACTGATGGTACTATGGCTGGTGTGGGAGGAGTGATGCAAGGCGGAGCTGCTGGTAACGTGGTCATGATGCTGGAGGGCGTGGCTGCTGACGAGGAGGGAGTCAGCGCTGACGAGGATCCAGTCATGTGTGTGGCGTACGAGTGCCCCGAGGGGTGGAGGAAGTGTGCAGACGGGCTGCAGTGCGTATCAGAGGACGCGTGGTGCAGCGGTGTGAAGGAGTGCCACGATGGCAGCGACGAGGACGAGGAGACGTGCACGGGGTACGACTGTGCCGCCACAGGGCGCGTGCTGTGCCCCGGCGGCAAGTACTGCCTGTGGAACTACTGTGACGTGTGCAACGAGGAGCGCCAGCCGCTGTGCCCTGATGCGTCGGACCAGGCGGAGTCAGCGTGCCACCTGAAGCAGAAGTGCCCCGTGCGCTACTACAAGGACGCCCCCCTGCCCCGCCCCCTGCCGCTGCCCCAACAGGACGGCGCCGTGCACGTGGAGCCGGACAGCGATGGGGGGGATGGTGATGGGGGAGACGGAGGAGGGGAGAGTGGGGGGAAGGCGGGTGGGAGCCATCCGAAGAAGTATGCCAAGGTGAAGACGAGCACAGGGAAGACTGATGGCACTGCTGCTGCTAGTGAGAATGTCAAGGGGGTTGAGGGTGGGAGAAGGCCGGGACACCATGCGGCTGGAGTGGGGCATCATAAGAGCAAAGGGCAGCACAACAAGACGCAATCCAGTGCCGACGCTGGCAGCGGAAGTGAGGAGGCCAAGGCCGGTAATGGCAAGAAGGGAGTGATTGGTACGGAAGAGGCAACAGGCAAAGGCACGGGCAGTGGCAGTGGCAAGGCAGGGAAAGAGGGTGGCGGGAGCAGCAGCAGCGGCAAGGCAGGGAAAGAGAGCAGTGGGAGCAGCAGTCCAAAGAAGCCTGGCAAGGGCGCGGCTCCCACATCAGGAGCTTCAGGGGGGAGTAAGGGGAATGGCACCAAGACGGGCAAGGGGGGAGTAGAGAGCAATGGCACGACGGGAGGGAAGGAAGGTAAGGGAGGTAAGGGAGGTAAGAATGCGGGAGACAATAGCAGCAACGGCACCACAAGCAGCGGCAAGAGCAGCAGCAAAGGCATCAAGAGCGATGGCGATAGCAGCAAGGGCAGCAGTGGTGACAGCAAGAAAGGTAAGTCAAGCAAAGGAGATGAGGTGAAGACCGACAGCAGCAAGGCAAAGGGAAGCAGCGGTAGTGGCACCATTGGCACGAGCGAAGCAAAGGCGAAAGGGAAGGCGGAGGGAAGCAAGGGGTCTTCTGCTGAAAAGGTGGCTTCGAGTGGAGGCATGCAGGCAGAGGGCAAGGGGAACAAGGGTAGCAAGGGAAGCCAGAAGAGCAAGGCGAGCAAAGAAAACAAGGGGAGCACAGGCAGTGTGACCAAAGGCGGCAGTGTGACCAAAGGCAAGGAGGGTGACGGCACTGGTGTGACCAAGGGAAAGGGCTGAGGGCCACGAGGCTCTGTGGGTAGAAGTAGAGCATTAGTAGGTATAGGAAAGAACAGGTTTCCGCTTGTAGAGGGGCAGTGTCTTGCTGCGCCTATTATCCGCAGTTTCAGAATCTTGTGCGATCTTGATGTGCTTTGATTAGCAGCTTATTATAACTATTGCACGTGTACATAACACTTTGGAAAACCACAGCTAACCAGCGAATAAATAGCACAACAGAGGAGGCAGAGGAACCCCAGTGGGCCCTGATGAGCATGTACAAGCTCTGCTACCCTTTGAGGATGTGACATTCACCAGGTGCAGCCACTAAGAAACCCATCCTGGTGCGCACTAACAACAAGCAACCCCACACCCCGACCTCAAGTGCACTAACACATTCCATTACAAAAAGCAGGAAACTGTCTACATTATGGCATGTCCTGCAAAGAGTTTACAGCTTTCACACGTTGTAAGGAGGCACGTTGGCCTTGCCTGCTGGCGGCACAGCGGCGTCAGCAATGGCCTTGAGCATGCCGCGCTTGTGGATGCGGATGATGTAATACCAGAACATGGCGATGTAGATGAAGGCCGCGAAATATGCCATCGCACATGCCCCACGCACCTTGCTCACATTCGCATTAGCATCATCCACGATTTGCTTAAGAAGAGTTCCGTAACTCAATTGTGAAGTGACTGTGTTGCTCATGCTAAATGTGACCAACAGGTTCTTGATCTCATTATCACTGAGATTGCCACTCATCGCACTGTGAAAGAATGGAGATGGGTAAGCAGAAATGGACATGTGAAAAACAGAAATCCAATATGGCATGAAATTATGCAGAAATCATACGTTGCCCACTTGTGCAGAGCAGAGATGCTACATGGACATACTAGACGGTCATAGCACGTGTCTTGCGTACGTACCTGTTCAAGTCGCTGGCATTCCACCACATGTTGCACGCAGCTGCTGCGGACGTGGCGGCGGCGAACAGAAGGAGTGACATAATCTGTCAACCAGGGGAGAAGTAATGCAACCTTTAAAAAAAACGAGAAAGAAACACTGGAAAACGTTCAAAAGAGAACAAGAATGACGCACAGGCAAGTAACTTAATAGGTGCTTTTTCGTATCTCATCACAAAGCTAGCAGGAGCGCGCGACGAGTATGCGGGAGACACTGTAGATTACGATGACTCAACACAGAGTGATATCCCCGTTTTGGAAGCTCGCATAGCACTCTCAGCAGGTTTTAAAAAACTGCACTGCTCGCGCGGCTCTTGAGTATGGAGGGACTCACGTAGGTCTCAAAGAACTGCACGAGGTCCATCACGGCGTCGTACGCCTCGGAGCCCGCGACGCACATGCGCACGGCGTTGTAGATGAAGAGCATAAGCGCCAATATGAACCCCAGAATGGTGACGCCCACCAGAAACGCGCCCGCGGCGTACCCCGTCACCGCCTCCTTGGTGGCGAAGCACAGACTGCGGATGTAACAAGGATACAGGAACCAAGAAGAAAAAGGAAAATATTTAAATACACGTATGTGTTGTGAGAGAACGTATTTATTTGCTTGTGCAGTCAGCTCGAGCTTCTGGAAACGGGAAGAGAAATCGAGCTCAGGTGTGCTGACTTCGAGCGCAAGCGAATTGACGATGAGCGACACGCATGAAGATGCGAGCGCACCTGAAAGAGACGAGGCAGAAGAGGAAGATGCCGATGCGGAGGCCGAAAGGGAGCCACGTGTACAGCGGAGACCGCTTGTTATTATCGCAGCAACATCCCGGATTGTTCGGCGCTGGGGCTGGCCCTGTGGCGGCGTACTGGGGTGGTGGCGCGGCGAACTGGGGTGGTGGCGCGGTGAACTGGGGTGGTGGCGCGGCGTTGAAACTCATGCCCTGCATGTTCGGAGCCTGCTGCGCAGCCATTTCGAACTTGCGACTATTCTTAGAAATTGCGGACGGACACTGATTCCGGCTTGTTAACAGTGCGATGTCACAACAGCAACTGTTTTGGAAGAATAATAACAAAATACCGTGCTATAGTGGCGCGTTCCGCGGGAACAACTTCTCGGGAATTTCAATTGAGCTCTTGCGGAGTTCGTCAAATGCGATACTGGGAACTTGGGTGCAGAGGCGGTAGAATACGAGGACAAGAAAGGGAGGGATTGGACAGGTGCGAGGAAGGGAATGAGGCCCAGCGGATTTATCTTGAATTGTTGCTGCAGGGGAGTGGGTTTGGAGAAATGTGAGTGCACCGCGCGCTCCGTTAGGGAAGGTGTCTGCTCAATTGTGAGCGCTGACATGGCGTTCCAGCACGCTGTGGGAGTGGGCGAGGTCCAGCTCGTCCGGAGTCTTGCACGCTTCTTGGCGGAGCTGGTCAAAGTCTACGGCGTCTCTCAATATGAGTCTGGTTGGGGCATTCACGTTAGGTCAATGCTGCGTGAAGGCCATTGCCCTGCTGGTGGGGATCAACGTCGAGCACCATGCGATGGTGTAGCGACGTCAAGAAACACTTGGGACGCGGTGCAAGTGCAAATATCGCAGGATCGTCTTCAAACATCGAGCCCCAAAATCGAGTGGGCAGATCGATTGGCGAAACGTGGCGACCGCGACGTTGTAACGATTGCCCCTTTAGAATTGACGATCTCCCGCGATCAGTGATCAGTCGCATTCGCACACTATACAGAAATTTTACCAAAAAAGCGTACTATAACATAGTTACAGCGTCGTAAATAGGGTAACCGATCCGCACATCGATCGCGACTGACAATTGATCGTCTTCTTTCTTCGATGCATAACACAACCTTTAGTGTCCATGGCAATGGCAATGACAATGCGGCCATGGCCATGGCGGAGAGCTTTAAAGCTCGCGGCCCAAATTGCGGGGCGCGCTGGCCAAGCTTACTAAGGTTGACGGGGGTGATGTTTTGAGAGCTGTTTGGGTTGCGAAGGGTGGTTACGAGAAGTGAGATGCAATCTGATTGGCCAGTTTTTTTTTGTCGAATGGGAGAGCATGGAACAACAATATGTTGATTGCAATTTGGAACTCTCGAAGCAAACCCAGGTTGCTCCCAGGGGTTTGCCGTGTCAACGAAAACCCCAAGGGTCTAGCGCGAAACTGGGCGAAAGGAAACAGCCCAACTCCCAACAAGTCAACTTCTTCTCCCACCACCCAAAGGTCAACCTTACTAAGGTTGAACAATTTGGGCCGCGAGCTTTAACTCCACCAATGTGTATCAATTTCCAGCATGAATCTTGTTTCGGCTCACCCAAGCGATGCACGGCTTTAAGCTCTACACAACGGTGTCCTTTTAGTGTTCATTACGGGAACCTAAATACACTTTTCTTGAGTTCGAGGCTGTCGCTATTGTTATGCCTAACAAGACAGGTTTCAACACATTTACCAAGGGGGAGTTTTAAGCCACAACATGGATCCTACCGCGTTCAACAACCTTCTCTGCTGTCAACCCGCGTCAGGATCAATGCACAGGCTAGGCAATGCTCAAGGTTTCCCGCGGAAAGCTATGATCGAAGCTGGACGACAACTTCCATGGCGCCAACGATTTCATCAGGCCTGGACCTGCAACGTTTCTCCTTCAAGCACAGGAAATATAAGCCAACAGCAAAGTCAGCAAATGTGCTCAGAACAACTTATTCATCAGCCTTTGCCTGGCTGTTAAGCTGTCATTATCATCATCGCACCATGGGGAAGGGACGCAACGGTAAGAGCAGCAAGAAGCATGACAACAACGTTGAGAACAAAGACGAGCATGATGTTCCTGACGTACCTGCGAAGGAATCTGACGGCAAGGGACGGACTCCCGCTAGCTCAACATCCGCGTCTGTGCATGGTCCGTTTGAAGCTCTCCTGGACCTGCCGAGCGAAGCTGACAAGGATGGCGGATCTGGCGAGAAGGAGCCTACGGGGGAAAATGTGGTCAATGACAATGAAGAAGAGGCGCGCACGAAGGTCACTGCTGAAGAAAGTGTGGACGACGGAGATGATGCGCTGCCAGCTGACGATGAGGATGGCTACTTGAGCGATGATTCCGACGAGCATCTGGAGCCGGACTCGCTTAACGGTATTATTGCTCTGAAGCGTTTTTCACTAACTCTACTGGTGCCGATTCTCAGGAGGGTGGAGGTTAAGCGTGCCGCAATGACTGTCGCCGCGATGCTGGATGAGTGGAAGGACCTTCTTTCGGCTGATGTGCTTCAAACCACAACTTACCAAGACCTTGCGCCGATGTACCTTTCTGGCGCGCGGTACGGCCGTTTGCAGGTCACGTTCACTCACGTCCGTGATGCGAACTACGTTTGGAGCCAGGTTATCCGCCATGAATGTGTCAATGGCGACTTCATCGATCTCACCTGGCAGCACCCGGAACACGCGCGTTTCCTCCGTGAGCGCCTGCTGAACCCCACGGCCAAGGAGGTGGTGGTAAAAGGGGTACCGGCGGAGATAACTGCGGAGCTGATCCGTCGTTTGCTGGTGGTGTCGAAGCTGGTCAAACGCGGCAGAAGCGCATTTGCGAGCGGCTTTGGTTTCCACCGTACAGTGGACCCGGTGTCGGGCCTGGACACTGACCGCAGTCGTGGCCTGTTCGTTCCCCATGCTGACGACGAATACCGCTGGAGGCATTTCGTGGAAGACCCGACTACAGGGAAGCGTTACCTGCTTCATTTCCCGTCCCTGGTTTGTGACTTCTGCGGGGGGCAACACATGACGCGATATCATGATCGTTATGTCACACCAAGGCAGGAGAATCTCAACAACTGGAACCTAACTGTTAAGAAGGTTCATGAGAAGAATGGTATAAGCACAGGAGTTTTTGTCTCGCAGTCGCAGTATGATTTGCCGCTTCCTCTTCATTACTTGCCTTTTACTGACGGGTGTCTGCTCCTTGTCCCCCACAGCTGCGTCCCTGATAGCCTCAGACCCACTGAAGCGTATCATAAGAGACCCTGCAATTATCCTCCACCGGAGGAGTGCGGGAGGAGTGGATTTGTGTCCAGACCGTCTGCGAAAAGGCGCAGGGGAACCGCTTCGAGCAGGCATCTGCTCACATCGTATCTGCTCGGCACAAAGGGGGTCTGCGGAAGGGGGGATCAACAACTCGTGCCAGCAAGTTTTCCCAGAAAATGATGGCTTTCAAAAAGGAGTATATCGCAAAGCCGACGAAGTAAGGCGTGGCTTTTTTCTCACCGTCGCCAAGCAGCAACAAGGGGAAAGTGACATAGCAGGAGATGGTGTCGTAGATGTCTGTAGTGCTGTGGGAGGGGTGGCTGGAATCAGCGGCTCACCTGCTCTGGAAGTCTTGTGTTTTCTTACAGCCCGTGGATGCGAGGGGGCTTCAATGCTGCTGATTAATGGATAAGGCCCACGCGGTTGTGTTCTGCGAGTTCAACATCAACGGACTCGGTGGCAAGGAAAAGCAAAGGAAATGCAGAGAATGGATGAAGGAGAAAACAGATGTGGCAATACTCACAGACACCAGAATTCAGGCTGATCATAATTTTTGGACTCAAACAAATCCGACTGCGGTGGTGGCGTGTGGACCGGCCCCTGGGGAACCAGCGGGGGGAGTCGCCATAGTGAGCTTCGTACCCGGGCTGACCTTTGTAGACAGTTTTACTCACGCGTCTGGCAGGCTCCTGGCGGTAGTGATCCGCTTGGGAAGTCTGGAGTTTCTGCTGGTAGCGGCATGCATTCCTGCGCACGCGGTCAATAGGAACAGCTTCTATAGGGACAGCCTGATGCCGTTTCTGCAAACTTTGCCGCCTTTCCAAGACGTCTTGGTGATGGGCGACTTCAATGTAGTAGAGGACCCGGACCTGGACCGAACTTCTCACTCTAGTTCGTCGGCGGAGAACCAAAGACTTCTGAGCTGATGGGGGAGCATGGACCTGCGAGATGCTTTCAGGCACATGCACCCGGGAAAGAGAGAGTACACTTTCTTTGCGAAAGCAACACAGCTCAAGGATTGACAGAGCTTTGATATCGCAACCGCTGTTGAGCAAGCTGGTGGAGGCGAGACATGTGGCGATTACGAACGGGATGACTGATCACTGGAGCGGAATCGGAGTGGTGTTGGAATCTGCAGAAGCTGTTAAAAACGGACCGGGCATCTGGAGGCTACTGGCGGCGCATGCGGGGAGGAAAGGAGTCAGGAAAATAATTAAAAACATCATCGAGGGATCGGCCGCATCAGCCGACGGACTGCTGGAGAGATTGACCGCGTGCATAAAAGCATACTCGAGAGAAGAGCGGAAGCGGGAAAAAGCAACCAAGGTGCACCTCACCAGGGAAGTGGAGAGGCTTAGAGACCGAGTATCGTGCTACCCGCACTGCCAAAGGACAGGGAGGATTCTACTCCGGAAAGAGGAACTGTTGGAGGCGTACGAAAAAAGTCACAGAGAAAAACTGCAAGCATGGGTAGGCATGGAAGCAGAACCCGGAGCAGAGCAGCTGAGCTGTGCGGCGGAGGTGCTCGCTAGATTCGGCGAAGAGTCGGGACTCAAGGTCAATGAGGGAAAAACTGTGGTTTTCCCGCTGGGGAAAAACCGAGGGAAGACGGCGCCGCAGGGTCTGCAGTACAAATGGGCGGACAGAGACGAACCGGAGAGGCTGTTGGGAATCTGGATTACGCCGAACGGAGACCCAACCCCCTCCTGGAACAAGGCTCTGGACAGGGCAAAGGGGGAGTTAGCAAAATGGGAGATGCAGCATCTGACAACATCGGCGAGGGTGACCATAATTAACAACTACATCGTGCCAATCTTTCTTTTTCAGGCACAAGTTTACTTACCGCCTGATCTCATCTGGAAAAAGATTCATAAACTGTGCCATACCTTCGTCTCGAAAGGTGACGCGGTGGAGGAGAAGCGGTTCATCCTCTGGAATTACAAGCTGGCGTGCACGCCTC